CTCTGCAGTAAAAGAATTAATAACTGCTTCTAAAGAAGACATTGATAAAAAAAAATACAGGAAATTTAAAAAATGATGGATTCCTTGAATGAGCAATACAGAAAAGAAATAGATAACATGAAACAGAGTCAAAGAGATGTAGAGGACCTTAAAATCTCAATTACAAGCCTGAAAACCATTTGAGCAAAAGTGAAGATACAGTTTCCAATCTTAAAGATGGTGGTGCAGTTAGTGAAAAGGTAAGAAAGGATCTCTTAAAAACAACTAGGATACTGCAAAAAATAATTCATCACCTTCAAGACGATGCAAAGATGAACAATCTGAGACTAATAGGCACCAATGAGAATGAAGGAATCAATACAAATGATATAAAAAGAATATGGGCAGAAGTAATAGCAGAAAACTTCACAAATATGAGGAAACAATCTGATACTCATGTAACCAAAGCATACAGAACTCCAAATAACTTCAACCCAGTTAAAAACACACCGAGACATATAATAGACACAAGAATAACATACTGAAAGCCACTAGAGAAAAGAAGCAGATCACATTCAAAGGAAAACCCATCAGAATTACAGCCAACTTCTCTACACAAACCATGAAGGCAAGAAGAGCATGGAGCAGAGTACTTCAAGTCCTCTACAAAAACAAATTCCAACCCAGATTACTATACCCTGCAAAATTCTCTTTCAAGTTTGATGGAGAAGTGAAATACTTTCATGACAAAGAACAACTAAAGAATTTCATGATAGCAAAACCAACCCTACGAAGACTACTGAAAGATGTCCTAGAGAGGGACCAAAATGATCAGAACTCCACCAATGAGAACAGAAGAAACCCATTAAATAGGACAAACAATTAAACACAGGAGAAAAAACAGCATTCAAATAACATGTCAATCATAAGTCAACACATCTCAACAATAACTGTCAATGTAAATGGACTCAATTCACCAATTAAGAGAAATAGATTGGCACAGTGGATTAGGAAACAAAACCCAACAGTATGTTGCATGCAAGAAACACATTTGACTCATAAAGAAACTCATAGGCTGAAAGTCAAAGGATGGAAAACAATACTACATGCCCCAGCACTTCAGAAAAAAGCAGGGGTAGCAATCTTGATCTCAGACAGTCTCAACTTCAAACCAAGAATGATCAAACAAAATAAAGAAGGCCACTATATACTAGTTAGAGGAAAAATTCAAGAGGAACAAATAACAATCATAAATATGTATGCACCAAACACAGGAGCACCCAACTATGTAAGACAAACTTTAATAGACATGAAAAATCTAATATACAATACAACAATCTTAACAGGAGACCTTAATACCCCCTTATTCCAAATAGATAGATCAACCAGAAAAAAAATTAGCAAAGAAGTAGCACAACTGAACTAGAGCTTGGAACAAATGGACTTGGTAGACATATACAGAGTGTTCCACCCAACCACAGCAGAATACACATTTTTTTCAGCTGCACATGGATCATTTTCTAAAATAGATCACATACAGGGCCATGCGTCATGCATAAGTATATGTAAGAAAACAGAAATTATCCCATGCACATTATCTGACCACAATGCAATGAAACTGGAAATAACAGAAGAAACCCACTAAATATATGGAAATTAAACAACACTCAACTCAGCAGCCAATGGGTTAAAGATGAAATTAAACAGGAAATTCAACAATATCTACAATTCAATGAAAATTCAAGCACAACTTATCATAATTTATGGGATGCGATGAAAGCATTTCTCAGAGGGAAATTCATAGCTGTGAACTCACACATTAGAAAAACAAAACAAGAACAAATAAACACCCTAATGCTGCACCTTCGACATCTAGAAAAGGAACAGCAAACCAAACCCAGAGCCCAAAGACGGGAAGAAATCATAAAGATTGGAGCAGAAATTATTTCAATTGAGATGAAGAGAACAGTTCAAAGAATTAACAAATCAAAAAGCTGGTTCTTTGAAAGATTAAATAAAATTGGGAAGCCCCTAGTCAACCTCATCAAAAAGAGGAAAGAAAAAATTCAAATATAAGCAATAAAGAATGAAAAGGATGTCACTACTGCAGACCCAGTAGAAATTCAGAAGATTATCAATAGCTACTTTGAGAATCTTTACGCTCACAGAATAGAAGCCACAGACGAAATGGACAGATTCCTAGACAGGTACAAATTACCAAAACTGAATCAAGAAGATATGACAACT